AGGCGTGAAAGCTGGCTGAGTCACATTTGGCCAATCACCAAGAAACAGTGAGTTCTAGTTCTACTTTAGAGATGAAAGCTGGCTGGCTGACTTTGGGCCAATCACCAGGAGACGCTGAGTTCTAGTTCTGCCTAGGCGTGAAAGCTGGCTGAGTCACATTTGGCCAATCACCAAGAAACAGTGAGTTCTAGTTCTACTTTAGAGATGAAAGCTGGCTGGCTGACTTTGGGCCAATCACCAGGAGACGCTGAGTTCTAGTTCTGCCTAGGCGTGAAAGCTGGCTGAGTCACATTTGGCCAATCACCAAGAAACAGTGAGTTCTAGTTCTACTTTAGAGATGAAAGCTGGCTGGCTGACTTTGGGCCAATCACCAGGAGTCGCTGAGTTCTAGTCCCACCTTACGCATGAAAGCCGGCTGGGTGACTTTGTACCAATCACCAAGACACAGTGAGTTCTAGTTCTACTTTAGAGATGAAAGCTGGCTGGCTGACTTTGGGCCAATCACCAGGAGTCGCTGAGTTCTAGTCCCACCTTACGCATGAAAGCCGGCTGGGTGACTTTGTACCAATCACCAAGACACAGTGAGTTCTAGTCTAGGCGAGGCCAGGGACCAGCGCCTTGAGGCTCAGCGCGCTGAGATGGACAGCCAGTTCCAGGCCGTGATGCAGTCCCACTGGAACGAGGCCCTCCAGCCCTTCGCCACCACCAGCGCTTCCCTCCAGCCTTTGCCCAAAGCCCCCCACCAGGAGGCTGAAGCAGGCCCCGAGTTGGAATCTCTGCCCCCCTCCGACCCACACAAAAAGACCCCGAAGGGGGAGAACTCTCTGCAGCAACACCAGCGTTCATTTCACGTATCCGTCCCAGGGGCCGTAGTCTGAGGACCCCGGATTTGGTGCAATATAAAAAATGCAAGTAATTTTTCTGTGGACCAACAAACTCTTCTCATGGACCCCCCCAGTTGGTGACCGCTGTCCTAAGGCTCCCCCACCCCCCATTATAATCCCCATTCTATTTCCTCCTCCTCTCCGCAGATCAGCTCCCTTCAGAGGGAAGTGCTGGAGAAAGAGACACTCTGCGAACAGCAGGCTCTCCAGCATCAGGCAGAAATCCACCAGGTGGAGGCCCGGTCGGCCCACGAAGCAGAAATGCAGCAGGTGGGTTGGCTTCGGGAAAGCTGCCAGAGATGGACGGGCAGCCCTTGAGTGACCACAGTCCAGTTAGGGACCGCTCAGAATTACAACGGCACTGAAAAAAGTGACGTACGGCCGTGTTTCACACTTACGACCATTGCAGCATCCCCCAGAGTCACGCAATCAAAATTCAGGGGCTTGGCAAAGGATTCAAAGTTATGACGGGGGTGCGTGTGATCCCCTTTTGCGACTTTCTGATGAGCAAAGTCGGGAGGGTGGGAGGAAGCCAGCGTCACTAACTGAAACAGCTGCAGCTTTGAATGGTCACTAAATGGACTGTCGTAAGTCAAGGGCTACCTTGACTTCCAAGCATTTCATTTTAGCGACAGTTTGAAGTTTCAGTGGCCCTGAACAGGGGACGTGGGAGAAATCCTCGCACTTACGACCATGACATGGTCGCGTGATCAAAATCTGGGTGCTTGGGAAAGAATCAAAATTCATAGGCTTGGCAACTGGCTCATACTTACGACAGTCGCGGTGTCCAGGGTCGTCACACAATCCCCTTTTGCGACCTTCTGGCAAGCGAAGTCAACGTGGGAAGCCGGATTCGCTTAACGACCGGAGTTATCAACTGCAGCGACTCACTTAACCACGGTGGCAAGAAAGGTCGTAAAAATGGGGCGAAACTCACTGAACAGCAGAAATTTTGGCCTCGTCCTTCGTAAGCCGAGGACTCATAAATAGATATAGATAGATTAATTGATAAATTGATATAGATAAATAGATAAGATAGATAAATAAATACATAAAGATAGATAGATGATAGATAGATAGATAGATAGATAGATAGATAGATAGATAGATAGATAGATTCAATTTAATTCAATTCAATTTATTAAATTTATATGCCGCCCTTTTCCCCCGAAGGGGATGGTAGATGGAAGGATGGATGGATGGATGGATGGATGGATGGATGGATAGATGATAGATAGAAATAGATATAGATAGATAGAAATATAGATAGATAGATAGATAGATAGATAGATAGATAGATAGATAGATAGATAGATTCAATTTAATTCAATTCAATTTATTAAATTTATATGCCGCCCTTTTCCCCCGAAGGGGATGGTAGATGGAAGGATGGATGGATGGATGGATGGATGGATGGATAGATAGATGATAGATAGAAATAGATATAGATAGATAGAAATATAGATAGATAGATAGATAGATAGATAGATAGATAGATAGATAGATAGATAGATAGAT